GACTTCAAAGTATTAATGATTACATATAAAGCCCTAAACGGTTTGGGACCTCAATATTTGGCAGATTGCCTCCTCCCACCCAGATCTGCCCGAGTCACACGACATAGCCAGCAGGGACGGCTGAGGGGACTGACGCCGAGGGAGGCCCGGAAAGAGAAAACAAGAAACCGGGCCTTCTCGGCAGTTGCCCCTCGGCTGTGGAACACACTTCCCACTGAAATTCGGCTGGCACCCTCGCTGGGTGTGTTCAAAAACCAACTAAAAACATGGTTATTCAGACAGGCCTTCCCCCCAGTCACCTAAGTTCCTTCCCCCTTTTTTCTGGTTCTTAATGTTGCCATCTTGGATAATATTAATTATAATAATTGCATTATGTTAGTTATTCTTCTATATTGTTTTAATGTGTTTTAATTTTTGTAAGCCGCCCCGAGTAGACCTTGTCTAGAGGGGCGGGGTAGAAATTGAATAAATAAATAAATAAATAAATAAATAAAATAAATATTGTTTTTAAATTCAGTAAATTATTTCTTTTTTCTTTGTTTGATGTACAAAGCCATGATGTTAAAATGAACATCCCATTGACAAATTTTGTCCGTTGCTACAAAAGATAGAAAGGAAGGAAAAATATATATATAATAGGAAAAAGGGACACAGAAAGCAATATCCCTCCCCCCTGTCCTTTAAAACCATTTTAAGGTTGTTGCAGATGTGAAATTGCAACCTTAATAAATAGCCATCAAATGAGATGGTGAATTGGAGTGGTTAGTTTGGCCCACACCCACAAGCTGATTTCAGAAGCAAATGGCTACAAATAAGTTACTTCTATTTTTTCCTCCAAGAACTAAAAATATTGTCATTACATTACAAGTACAGGACTGTACCTTAACAAAAGATAATTTTACTCCATTTTCAGTATAATAGTAATATTTTATAGAGCAAAATAGCTGTGCGATCTGTCCACAGAAACAAAATTCTTTGGATAATACCTTTTTTAAAACCACTACAAAGTTACAAATAAGGCAAGCTTTTGGTAAAATTATATTGTGAAGAATTGTGGAGAACTTGAAGGCTTATGATATTTGTAACATTTAATGATCCAGACCTATATTTTGTAATATTTTATTTACTTATTTAATTACATAGATGTAAGCTCACTAAATAGCAGGAAAGCAATAGCATAAGGCTGAAATTAAAGATAGCCATGAACCACCAAAGCAGTGTTTCATGCCAGTTCGTTTTGGCCAAACAGCTTTGGCAGTTGCCAGACTCACCTCTGCCCACTCAGAGGCAATGCCTGGAGTAGGCGGGGCAGGGAAACACTGAACATTTATTTAGCCAAAAATCAAACTGGCACAAATCACTGCTTTAGCAGTTCATGCCCATCTCTAGTCCAAATCCCAGCTCATGCTGCTGCTGCATGCTCTGTTATGGCAACTAATAAAGTGGCAAGGCAGGTTGAAAAAAATGCATATTGTACTTTATGATCATCTCTTGTAGCGTTCAGATTTGGGGATTCTTCCCTGAAACTATCTTCATTACTTCTGAAAAGTAGGGAAATTTTTGTTGTGCATGCGAAGGAATGCACATGCACATATGCACTTCTGCACACCCACCTGCCCCCAACTGTACGTGGACAATCACACACACACACACACGCACACGCACACATGCACACACCTCACATGCATGCCACCCAGATTAATAAAAAGGCAAGGTGGGCCAGATGTGGCCCACGGGCCATAGTTTGGAGACCCCTGTTTGAAAGCAACATCAATTTTTTATCACTGAATGTATATCAGTAATTAATTATTATTTAATAGAAATTTTCCACAATTGTGCACAGAGTCACAACTTCCGAATTCTAGCTCACATTTCTCATATTATGAAAAATATCCCCATGCTTGATATTGTTGTTGTTTTGTACCTTTAAATCAGAACCAACCTATAGCAACCTTAAGAGGACTTTTAAGATAAGTGAGATATTTAAAGAGCAGTTCTACCAGTTCCACACTCCCAGTGAGTTGCTATGCCTGAATAGGGATCTGAAGCCAGGCCTCCCAAGTCCTAGACCTTTACTCTACCCAATACAATACACTACATATCATCCCCATTCTAGTCCCATATTAGCTAGCCATAATCAGAAACAATCATTCAAAGTACTTCTTATTAACCCTTGTTCTTTTTATGGATTTGAGAGGAAGGTGTCTGTGGGTCAGTAGTTCCTCCTCATGCTTTTGGAACACTTCCTCCTCATGTTGTGGAGAGTGAGGCACAACTTGTGCATTTTTATCCTGGTTGTTGTCCAAGTTGAAGAAATATTCTTTGAGTCATAGCCTGCAGAAAAAAAGCCTCCAGGTCACCACCGTGCTGTATCATCTGTGTGGTTTGGTAAGACAAAAAGACAGGCCCTGTGAGAAGCCTCAGTGTGTGGCTGGACAGGTTTATGATGTTATTGTGTAAGTCCATAGTGTTCTTGTTGTGGGCTAAAGGACCTGTAGTAGATTAGTCACTTTTCTTTCTTTTTCTTTATAGATGTCATAGATGTATTTTCTTGCGGTGGAAAATACTGTGCCTGGTTCAAGGTCTGCAATATCCTTCTGGATTTTCCTTTGCTTAGTGTAAAGGATACTGATCAGGTGGTTTAATTTTTTTTTGAGAGAGAGTTGCATATCCTTTCACCATAGTCAATGGTGTATGTGGTACTTTTGTGTACTCTTAGTGCAGCTGGTGTCAGAGCTCTGGGAGTTTGGCCAGCAGATTCAGTTGCTATGCCCTCAGGCTAACATTCCATTGGCCTTATGAATGAATGTTTCTGTGGCATTTTCTGGAAAGTAACACATGGGGGATGGGGAAGAAGCAGGGACTTGGGCAAACCTGCATTAGGAGTAATACCCCATGTCGCTTCCACTGCCTACTTTCCTCTGGTTCCTATTTTATTCTGATTAAAGTGGAATCAGATCAGATCTCAGAGATGTCACTTGTTCTGGCTACTTTTCCTGCAGGACCTTTAGGTTGTCTAGGAGATTCTAAGAGCTTTAGTTCAAACAAAACAAAACCTTTCCCAAAACTCAGCATGTGCTTAGGTTTGGTTGTACGGTTGATTATAAGAACTTGATGGAGCTCAGGCTTCTTGTAAAAAAACAAATAGCTCTTCTCTCTCTCATTTTCTGCTGCAGGTGCCTTGTGAAATGGCTGGAAGTCCGCTGTGTCTGTCCCATGTGTAACAAGCCAATTGCAGGCCCCAGAGAGTCTCATCAAAGCATAGGTATCCTTCTGGATGAGCTGGTGTGACATTCACCCTAAAGCAGAACCTCCACTGATACAGACTGAAATGAACCCTGGAGATTCAGTATTGTGTGTTCCAGCCAGAGATGTTTCACAGCATGTTCTGTCTTCTTTATCAAAAAGCTGTTACCTAGTGCTAAGATGGAAGACAAGCTGGCCTTGCTCCACATCTCCAGTCTGGGAGCAATTTCCTGGAGAAGATTGATCATATCAGCACCAGAATTTGCACATTTCAGCTGAGGGCTTCTGAGGAACAGAGAATTGAACCTTCGCAGATGACTCTGTGGACAGTCTAAGTCCCCAGTACCATATTTTGACAACTGGATGTAGTGATGCCAAACATAAAATCAAGGTCTTCCCTTCCTCTGGGAGCTGCTGGCCAGCATTTGGATTTCACTCCTTACCCAGTATTTCCTAGTTTTATTTTTACAGTTCTAAATAATCCTTTATGTTTACAGGCATCTGGTCTTTCCCATTTGGTTTCTCTATGCCTTATATAAAGGGGGAGAGAAACCAAATGGGAAATATATATGTGTGTGTGTGTTCTGGCTCTTTTATATATAAAACGTGGGGTGGCACACGTTGCTTGTCCCAGCTTCCGCCAACCTAGCGGTTCGAAAGCATGCAAAATGCGAGTAGATAAATCAGTACCACTATGGTGAGAAGATAACGGTGTTCCATGTCTAGTCGCGCTAGCCACGTGACCATGGAAGATGGTCTTCAGACAAAACACTAGCTCTATGGGTTGGAAACGGAGATGAGCACCACCCCCTAGAGTCGGACATGATTGGACAAATTGCCTATGAGCAACTGGCAGGGAAGGAGGTAGCGTGGAAAGATTGATGTGCTCCTTCACTTGGTATTTGGAAAGATGTGTGGTTTGCATTTTCCTAAGTGGTCTTTGGACTTTCTCCTCCCACTCCCCCATTTTATTCTTGTACAGGAAAATAAATTCACTTTCTCTGAAAACTGGCTTTATTTTACTGACTCCTGGTATCTTATATTCTAAGGTAAAACATCCCATAACAGCAATTCCTGGTGGGAGGGTGTCACATACAGCACTGATGGTACCTGTCTGTCATGGGTTTGGAGGGAAAGTTCCATCCTATGGGGAGTGGAAGGTGGGACATCAGGGGGGAGGAGCTGTACTGTATATATATTTGGAGCTGGTGTGGAGAAGAGGAGTTGGAGTCTGTGTGTCAGACTGGGTACAACTGTTTGTCAGTTAGTACATACCTGATAGGTTCAGGTTTCTATCTAGGTAGCCAGAACTGATAGGTTCAGGGTCTGTGCGTTACCTTAAAGTGTTCAGGGGGGAACCAATCTGTTGTATGTATATGATTGGGACTATGCCACGTTCCTGTATCCTATTTACCTGATCCTTTTATTTACCCTGTTTGTTATTTCAATAAACCTTGTTCTTTTGTTTATTAAAATCCATTCCTGGTCTGTGTGACTTCTTATAGGGAATGGTTGGTGGCAGCATAACTAAAGGGTGGTATACTCCAGTAGGTCTGGGGTTGTCACAGAGGGTATAAAATGAAAAGCAAAGCAAAGCAAAGCGTGCTGCTTATATACCACCCCATAGCGCTTCAAGCACTCTCTGGGTGGTTTACAATTTAATTATGCAGGCTACACATTGCACCCCCAGCGAGCTGGGTACTCATTTTACCGACCTCGGAAGGATAGAAGGCTGAGTCAGCCTTGAGCTGGCTACCTGGGATTTGAACCCCAGGTCATGAGCACAGTTTTAGCTGCAGTACAGCGGTTTAACCACTGTGCCACGAGGTGAAGATCTTGCCAATCACCTCTCATCTCTGTCTCCTATCTCCCCTTAACACACACAAATGCACACACCTCTCTAAGGGATATATCACACGCCTTGCACACAGAAGGTTCCAGGTTCAATCCCTGTCATCTCCAGTTTTAAAAAACAGAATGGATCAGGACACATACCTTGCACATATCTGGAGGAGCTGCTGCCCATAAGAGTCATCTTCTGGTCATGACTATTTTTTACTTTGGTTATAGCAGCTCTAAACTATTATGTTATATGGCAGTGGTCCCCAACTGTTTTTACACCGCGGACCAGTTGGGGAAGGCAGGGCTCCCCCCCCCACTCATGCACATGCGTGAAGGAATGGACGTGCACTCATGCAGATGCATGAAAAGGATTGGAAGGACACTGTCATGCATGCACACACACTTGTGCATAGGCACAGGGTGCACGGGGGTTGCTCAGGGTCACTTGTGCGAAGGCACAGGGATTGCTCAGGGGCACTTGCTCGCAGGTGCGCACATGCACAAAAGGGGGTGGGGCGCTCACATACTCTCTCACATATGCGCAAAGGGGCTGTGTGTGCAGGGGGGTGGGTGAGAGATCTGTCTTCATGGCCCCGTCCAGCCCAGGCCACGGACCAGCACTGGGCCGGGGGTCGGGGACCTCTGTTATATGCCATCCAAAAAAGGCTACCAGGTTATGCAACCAATAAGTTCTCCTCCCTGCACATCTTATCCCATTTATTTTACAGGAAATTTTCAGCAGTAGAGATGGGCAAGAACTGAACCACAAACTAAAGAACCTGACAAACCAAGCTAATTTGAGGTTTGGTTCGTGAACCAGTTCAGGGATCCCATTTTGCTGAAGCAAAACAAAATGCTGAACTTTGCCCCATTTGGCACTTTGTTTGCTTTGACAAATTGGGATGAGCTATCCACACCCTTCCCACTGGTCTCCTGGCCAACTGCTCCTGCTCCTGCCACCTCCTCCTCCTCCTCCTTGGGTGCCTTGCTGTGAGACAATGACCAGGCTGAGCAGGGCCATCAGCTGGGAGGTGGGCACATGCTCTGAGGCAGCGCTCCAGCTTCCCTGCATGGCACCTGGTTGCTCCCTTGGAGCTTGGGACCTAGGGAGGAAGAGGAGAAGGTATGACAGCAGTGGTGCAACTCGAGCAGGTAGCCCTGCCCACTGGGCATGAACTGAAAACCAAATCATGAACCTGTTCTGTTTTCCAGTTAGTTTGTGCTGGGCTGTGGCTAACCATGAACCATCATTTTTTTAGTTCGTACCCATCTCTAATCAGCAGTAATAATCTATACCTTCTGTTTCTCATTATTTGACCCTAGCAAATTTCCCTCTAGTTTTCAGCCAATCTGCACAGGAACCTCATGCTGTGTGAATGGGGGTGGGTGGGTTATCCGAAACCAGAACTAGACAGGCACCAACACTGGTTGCCGGCGCACAGCCACGATGGAGCTCTGTGTGTGCACACATGTGCATGTGCAGCTTAGAGGGAACATTGGACCCAAGTATTCTAGGTTTCTGTGTTTGAGGTGTTTGATGGTTTTTGGTCTTTCATTACTCATTTGCCTTAGTACTTCTTCAATAGCTATCCTCCCAATCCAAGCAATAACTCAAATTTCAATACTTCCGTGCTTTTTATAGTAGCATCTTTTAAAGTCTACAATTCTGTGCCACCGACTATAAACCACACAGGTTTTAAGCTGGGGATGTAACCAACAAGTTCTAACATGTCTGAAAATTGTAAAACTGAGAGGCGCTGTTCTTAGGAGAGAACACAGGATGATCGCCCTGCTAGGACTTCCACTGTCCATCATGGAATCCCAAGCCTTCTGCCAGTTGCTGCATTTGTTTTTGCCCCCTGGTACTCTCAGTTCTAGAGTGCTGCCCTCGCTCTATGACTCTGTGAGGGAGGTGATCCGTGACCATTTTTCATGGCTACAGGGGCACAAGGTGGACTTCACAGTGGATCTGTGGAGCAGAGGTCAGCACAGCTACCTCTCGCTCACAGCCCACTGGTGGCAGCCAGAGGACTTGAGTAGTGGTAGGGCATCGGTGACAGGGCCACAGGGGGAGACCCTTGCCCTGCCCCCAGGCTACAGGTCTGTTCTGCTGCAGGTGCTGCACATGGAAGCTCAGGGAATGGGGAGGAACATCATTGATGAGTTCCTGTCTGCTCTTGCAGGAGTGGGGACCAGAGGGGGAGGTGACCTGTAGCCACATGGTCACAGATGCTGGGCGGAAAATGTTGGCAGCATTGAAAGTGGCAGGCTTTGAGGGCATTGTATGCATGGCACACAAATTACACCTTGTGGTGCACGATGCCCTCAGCCTGGGCAGCCATGTCAAGCCCAAGTGGACACAGGCACCCGGGGGACACGGGCACTCCTGGAGCAATGATGCCAACTGGTGGGCCACTTCTCCCGGAGCCTGAAAGCTGCCCGCCAGCTGTGTGAGAGGCAGGAGGAGTTGGGTCAGGAGACTCATGTTTTCCTGACAGACCTGCCTACCAAGTGGAACTGCACCTACACTGTGGTGTCCTGCCTGGTGTTTTGGAAGACATCATGTCCTCCATGCCCATTCTGCCCAGGGGGAGAGAAGTGAGCATCTGTGCCACTGGCTGGCCCTCTCTCAGATGGTGGAGGTGCTCAAGCCCTTCCTGGAAACCACGGACATCTTGTGTGGTTATACGGCAAGCCTGGGGCAGGGCATCCCCCTGATTCATGCTCTTGATTGGTCCCTGGAGACTGCTGTGGCACCAGGATTCTCCCTCCTTTCGCAGACCAGGGCTGTGGTAGTTGTAGGCAGGCATGCAGAAGTGACTCCATCCTGTCTACAGTGACAGAAGTTACCACATGGCCTGCCTGTGTGATCCTTGAATCAAGAGGGGCTTGGCAGCACGCACCTCAAATGTGAGGAGTGGAGAACGGAGCTCTCCACTGAGGACCACAGAGCGTTGGGGGCACAACGCTTGTGTGGGGCAACGGGAACGTCAGGCCACGAGGGGCAGGGTGATTTGCCCGAACCACAGGAAAGGACTTCACCTGGTGAAGGTTCCATTCACCACCAACATTACTGGATCTCTATGGTGACCTTGGCACTTGCCTCAGAGGAAAGACAGCCAGCTGAGGAAGATTCAGCAATTGTGTGGGAATACATGGCTGAGCCCCCTCAGCCTCACCAGTCAGATTAATGGGGTTGGAAACTAGTCATATGGCCGGAGTTGTCCAATATGGCCATGGACCCCCTTTCCATCCCTCCCACCAGCATCCAGAGCAAGTGTGTGCTTTCCCATATCAGAGATGTACTCCGACCACACCACTCGTGTTTGGATCCCATTACTGTGGAGAAACTTGTTCCTCAAGGTGAGTCTTCCCTTGTTGGGCTTCCCCTCACTGAACCCAAAGAGCTAGGGTTCCAATGACAGCCTCTCCCTTAACACACTACCTGCTTGCCTATGCCTGCCCACCCACCCATTCCCCAGTCCTCCTGAAAAATAAGACCTGCCTACTTGCCTGCCGGCCATTAAAGCAAAGCTTAAACCTGCCCCTCAGTCAGAACTCCAGCTACTGATTCCAGTTGTGTTCTCAGGCCAAGTTCCAAGTCATACCTGCCTGCCTGCCTCCTGGATCAAGTCAGACCAGCAGGCCAAGAACTGTTGAACTCCTGCCTGCTGGATCAAGTCAGACCAGTGGGCCAAGAACTCTTGAACTCCTGCCTGCCTGCCTGTTGGGTGATGTAATCCCGGCAGGCTGTTTGTTCCAACTTCTGCCTCCCTGATTGCCTGCTGGGTGAAGTAGTCCCAGTGGGCTGTTTATTCCAACTTCTGCCTCTCTGACTGGGAGGAGAGAACTCCTGCCTGGCACAGGTTAAACCACATCAGCTCTGCAATATGAAGCCAGGCAATATGGTGGTGGGGTGATGTGC